TGACGTGGCCGCGCAGGCATGGCCGCGCGACAGAGGCGGGGCGCGCCATACAAGGGTCTTCGGCATGACCATGGGGCGGGCGCGCGGCAGGAAAGAGCTGCGCGATACGGCCATAGATGGCAGAAACGCCAGACGGGGTAGGGTGGTCATGGTGCGGGAAAGCGGGCGGGAAAGCGGGCGGGACAGCGTGCGTAGCAAAGTGACGTTCATGGGCGAGCAAAAGGAGCTCGGGGGGAAGGGACGGGGTACAAGTGTGGGAAGACAACTAAGGTTGTCGTTGTATACAGGTAGTGGGGGGGGGGGGGGAGGTGACGGCGGGAAAGAACGCTGGTTTCAGGAGAGGCACAGAGGCGGTGGTTGAGGGTCGGAGGTCAGTCTGGCCACCGGCCGCCGTCGCGGCGGCAAGCGCTGCTCAACCGCTCGTTGCAAACGGCGGAGGCGTCGCAGCCACACGAGCCCAAGGCTACGCGCCACTTGGCGCGTTTTTATTCAATTCCATATGCAACAAATCTCGGCACTGTAATATACAAGCTATGCATCTTCATTGGCGCATAGGGCCTTAGAGCCGTTTGCATTACACAGCCGCAAACGAAAAGGAGCTCGCATTCTACTGCACAATGTACAAGTACATGTTCATGTATCATACAGCAACAGTGATCTCCGGGCCGACTGCAAACGCCGTTCTCGCTGACCACTGTCAAATTCAAATTCATCGGCTGGAAGGGTGCATTTTTATTGGCGCATGGGGCATTACAGCACCGGAACAAAGTCCTCACAGCTGTCAGCAAGAGGTCGGACCAAAATGGGATTCCATGCAATCTCGCACAATCCTCTCCGCCTCTACTCCCCGACAGCCCATCCCCGACCTGCCCATCCCCGACCTCCCCCCCGTCCCCGACCTCCCCCCCGTCCCCGACTTCCCCCCCGTCCCCGACCTCCCCCCCACCTCCGACTTCTCCGCTCCGCCCTGCGCCTCCTCTCCCCCAGCCACCGACACACCCCACCCACCCCCCGCGCCACCTTGACCGTCTTGAGCACCTTTCCGACCCTCCCCACACCCTCCCCAATCAGCAAAGCCATCACCCCGCTGACATACGGCGCGGCCATACTCGTCCCGCTGGCCCGTGCATACCCTCCGCCCCTCCCCGCGCTCCACACATGCACGCCCGGCCCGAACAAATCCACGCACCCGCCGCGATTCGAAAACTTCGCCACCCTCCCACCCCTGCCGACCGCCCCCACCGCCATGGCCCCCCGCGCCCCTGCCGGCGAAAACGCGCACGC